GGGGGGCAATCCTGGAAACAGCGAGGGACTGGCCCGTGGGGCTTCTGCCAGCAAAAATGGAGTTCAAGGGGGCAGCCCTCCCAAGTTCCATTTTCACTGGCAGAGGGTTGCAGGAGGCCGTCCCAGCCAAAAACGGAGATCGGGAGCCCATTTTCGCTGGCCATAGGCGCCCCTGACACGAGTGATGTTGAGCTGGCCACGCCCATCCTGGACGCACAAACCACGCCCCCCCACATCAAATACAACCCTGATGCGGCCCTCAATGAAATCGAGTTTGACACTCCTAAGACAGTGCCCCCCACAACCTTTTGGACACCAGGGACCGGTTCCAGGGAGAAAGGTTTTTCCGTGGATTGGAGGAGGCATGATTTTGCAGGCTGCCTGCACCCCACAGATGGGGCTTTGCTTGTTTGCGTGGCCCGGTTTCTGGCACGCGGTGGATTGGTGCCAGTCCGCAGACCTGAGGTTGGGAACTCCTGCTGTAAGAGTCAGGAGAATGAGAGGCACCGATTCTGCATTCCAATCCGGATCAGGAAAAAAATGATCGTAGGATAAAGAAATGCAACCTGCTTGACCTTTTCATCTTCCCAGCCCCTAAGATCATTTCCTCCTTGAAGGGGGCACAAGGGGAAAATACTTCTTTGCAAAGACGCCCAGCTGCTTCTGATCTGTCCAAGAGAAAGTTCAAAGAGACCACCTGCATCTGGTTTGATCTTCAATGCCAAACATCGATGTCCGCGGTGCGCATGGCAGCGCTGGCAAAAATATCCCTCGTCCAAGTGACGTGGAGAAAAAGAGAGAGGCAATCCAGGCACAACAACAACTCTTTGTGATATTTTCTCAAGAGCCAGGGATAGGTTGCTGCCTGGCTGGAAAACTCTCAATGCGTAAGGAAATGGGGGCGGGCGGGAGATGAAGTTACCACATCATGATAGTCTGGCTCATTTTCAGAGATGCTCAAAGCAGCTAAACCAAGAAAAAAAACCCAAACTTTTGATTTTGGGTTTTGCCGATTTAGATAGGTTTGTTATTATAGAAGTGGCCAGTACGTATTATCATATAAGAGTAAAAAGCTGAGGTTTTATGTTAGTACCTTATTCTACTGCACCAAAGGAGTTGGAAGTCATGGTTTTTTCCTTTTCTTTTCCAACCCACCATACATGTCTAATGAAGATTCTCAGTCATTCAGATCATGGTGCTTTTTCAAAAGGTAACTGGCCTTTCTTTGTTTTTTTTTCCTTGGAGAGATTTCACTTCTCATCCAAGAAGCTTCTTCAGTTCTGACAGAACTTCTGACAGTTCTATCAGAACTGAAGAAGCTTCTTGGATGAGAAGCAAAATGTCTTCAAGGAAAAAACAAAGAAAAAGGGGTGGTTGTCTTTTGAAAAAGCACTTTGGGATACCTTATCCTGCACTTCTCTCTCTTCCCCTTTTCCTCCCTTTTTTTCCCTTTGTACTTCCGTATTTTATATTTTGATAAACTAATAAAATACATTGTAGAAATTAAAAAAAGAAAAAGAAATACACTCTGAAGCTGGAGCTGGCAAGGCCTACTCTCTTAACTGTTCTCTCTAATGCAAATGCATTATGGCACCTTGCCATGCCTTCCACTTTTGACCCAGCAGGGTGAGAGGATTTAATTTGCAATTGGAGCAGACTTACATCTGGGTAGTAATCAAGAGTGGGCACCAAGTGCTGGATGAGAGCTTCCAAAGATCCTGACAGCAAATTGTTGTCATGGTAATACAGCCCTTCACAGCTGTCCTCTTTGGACTGGAACAGGTATCGGCTGTAGCCACTGCTGTCAAACATGGCTGCGAAGGGAGGCGTCTGGGGCATACTTTCCTGAGGAAAAACAACCACGAGAAAACATTAGAGTCAGTCAGATGGTTTAAGTTTAGTTTAGTTTTAGTTTATTGTCACTGCACCTCCTACAACGAAATCGAACACCATCTTCAGTGCACATCATGACTATGACCATGAAAATAAACACAAACACACATCCTTCACCCTTCACACATTGAACCGGAAACCCCCGACACCACACCAACACTGCACTATACACGGCACTATACACTGCACTATACAAAAGAGCTACTGCTCTGGGATAGAAGCTGTTTTTCAGCCTATTTGTCCTTGTTTTTATTATTCTATACCGCCTGCCTGATGGTAATAGTTCAAAAACAAAAAAAGGGTGCCCAGGATGAGATGGATCTTTCAGGATGTTTTGAACTTTCTTAAGGCAGCAGGAGCTATAAAGCTCTTCCAAAGAGGGGAAGAGGGCAACCCATGATCTTCTGGGCAATGACATCAACCCTCTGGAGTGCTGTTAAGGCTGTTGTCACAGTTTTTAGCCCAATCCTTTTATGGCTGAGAAGCCAGGAGACTTGGCCAACATGTGAGTCCCAAATTAATAAGGTCCAAGAACTATACAGGTACTCCTCAACTTACAATCATTCGTTTAGAGACCCAAGTTACAATACCACTGAAAAAAGTGACTTACGATCAATTTTTATATTTATGACTGTTGAAAGATCCCCGTGGTCACAGGATCAAAACTTGGGGGCATGTATTTATGGCAATTGCCCCGTCCTGCAGACAAATTCCTCGTGTGTCCAAATAACATATTCTAATTCTAAAATTCTAACAGGATCACTATTTGTGAATTTCCCAGCTGACAAGCAAAACCAATGGGAGAAGCCAGACTTTTGTGATGATCGCATGATTCACTTAACAACTGCAGTGAGATTCTGAACTAGGACCAAAAGGTCGTAAAATGGGGCAAAACTCACTTAATTGTCGTGGTTTGCAACAGAAATATTGGGCTCAACTGCTGTCATAAGTCGAGCTGTATTATGAATTCTGGTCTAGATCTGTAGGATTGCGGCTGTGGTTATTATTCAGCTTGATTACATGCCATCAACTGGTCATAAAAAATGACAAGATCCAACAAAAACATCAAGCAAATAGTTCTTTGAGATCATGATCTGTATAACTAATTTTTTATTATGATAATTTATATTATTATATCAGGTTTCTCCAGGAATGGAAATCTGGATGAACTAATGTTACACTGACTTATCTATTTTTATCAGCTCTCAAAGGAAAGAATAGAGCCATCGGTCCTTGCTTAAATCATATTGCATAAGTTACGATACCTGAGTTGTACCTAAATTTTTAGGTCAGAGGTAAGCTTGTTGAGGGATTATGTTACACTCTGGGGGGAAAACTCAGGTGGCTTCTTTCAACTATGTGGCTTTGCAAAGTTCAACTCACAATTCAAAAGAAATTGTGCAAAACACTCCAAGTTTGCCCTCTTCAAAATACCTTCCAAGTGGCCAAAACAAATTGTTTTCCTTCCGAACAGCTGTTTTGCTCTCAATAGAATAGAATAGAATAGAATAGAATAGAATAGAATAGAATAGAATAGAATAGAATAGAATAGAATTCTTTATTGGCCAAGTGTGATTGGACACACAAAGAATTTGTCTTGGTGCAAATGCTCTCTCAGTGTACATAAAAGAAAAGATACATTTGTTAAGAATCATAAGGTACAACACTTAATAGTCATAGGGTACAATAATCAATCAAATCATACTAGGAAACAGTCAATATAAATCGTGAGGATACAAGCGACAAAGTTACAGTCATGCAGTCACAAGTGGGAGGGGATGGGTGATGAGAAGATTAATAGTAAGTAGTAAGAAGTAATAGTAATGCAGACTTTGTAAATAGTTGAACAGGATTGAGGGAATTATTTGTTTAGCAGTGAGTGTGTTTGGGGAAAAACTGTCCTTGTGTCTAGTTGTTCTGGGGTGCAGTGCTCTATAGAATCGTTTTGAGGGTAGGAGTTGAAACAGTTTATGTCCGGGATGTGAGGGGTCTGTAAATATTTTCACAGCCCTCTTTTTGTCTCATGCAGTATACAGGTCCTCAATGGAAGGCAGGTTGGTAGTAATTGTTTTTTCTGCAGTCCTAAATGCCATTTGACTCCAAATAACTCCACACACGGAGAACTCTTGGAATATCAAAATGAAGTCTGTGCCTGTCTTGTTGGGTTGCAGAGCCAAACCAGACAGTTATAGAGGTGCAGATGACAGACTCAATGATTCCTCTGTAGAACTAGATCAGCAGCTCCTTGGGCAGTTTGAGCTTTCTGAGCTGGCGCAGAAAGAACATTCTTTGTTGTGCTTTTTTTATGACGTTTTTTATGTTAGGTGTCCATTTTAGGTCAGTAGAGTATTTCAAAACGAACACAGTTTGCATATCGTTGCAGTACATTAAATTCTACTACCAATCGAGTCAAATCACAGATATACCAGAGAAGTTGTGCAAACTGTATTTATATAGTGTCATGTTGCAGGTATCCCATTGTGAGAACATATCCCGATGCCAATGTTTAGAAAATCAAGTTTTTCCAGAAGCACCAGCTCATGTAACTAAAGCTACAAGCTGTGCTTAGGGAAGGAAATATTCTGAAGATGTGCAATATTAACAAGGAACACAGCAGTGGTAATCCTCTGTTGTAAGCAGTAAATAAAATATGAGCGCGTGGCACATTTTTGCTAAAGTACAGCATAATAGAGCTCTTGTACCGCATTAGGATCTCAGAACAAACATTGTTTCTCTTTCCATAAATTCTTGAAATTTCCTCCCATCTCTGGCCAAAATAAAAATGATATTACTGTTCCTAACAAAATACCGCAATTCAAAACAACCAATGACATGACGAGGCTAGAACTTGGTTGATAATTGTAGACTCTCTCAAATCAAGGCTAACTCCTAGGGAAAACATGGTCACAACTACTGTACAGAGTGCTTTTGCAACAGGTGTTCCTCTACTTATGACAACATTTGGAATCGGAATTTTGATTGTAAGTCGTTACAGTCGTAGTTTAAGACACAATGTGACTAGATCAGACCAACACCAAAGGACATTTATTGCTCGGGTGTATGCATAGGAATCTACTCAACTAAAGATTAGCACTATTTTGGTGCTATATAAGGGCCAATGGAATTCAAGAGGGGTTGGAATTCGTCTGTTTGTGGCTACATAGAGATTCAAGGCTGATTCCTCTTTTGACTCCTTCCACAGCTCTGCCACTCCTTCTCCTACAGCAGGTGTGTCAACCTGGCGGCCCTCATGCCGGATACGGCCTGCGTAGCCCCCCCCCCAGCTCTGCAAAGGAGAAAAATGTGAAGTTATGTCACGTGACGGCAATGTGACGCCGCGAGTTTGATACCTGTGTCCTACAGGCATACACAACTGGCAAAAAATCAGGGGCACAAATAATTTTAGGGGAAAAGAGGGCAACCCCAGGCTGGTTGCAAATCCTATTTAATCCAAATTTCCCCCAATCTGGTGCCCCCCCAGTTGCGTTAAAGTTTCAACTCCCATTTTCCCTAGCCTACCACTGAACATTGATTTTCTCCGCAAATCTACATGCAATTTTGCACACTCTCGAAGAGTGTGCACAACTCATGACCTTCTTACTCATCTTACAGGGCCATGTCACAGCCATGCAGCAGAAAGAATGAATCAGCAATCCACCAGGAGCTTCTTCAAACATTTCACTCATAGAGTGCTCACTTACCTCTAGAGGTCAGTTAGGTTAAAATGCCATATAACAGGCATTTAATCTAAGATCAAAACAGTAAATCAGACAGGTCCCTATCTAAAGCAGGAGCATCCAACCCTGGCAACTTTAAGACTTATGGACTTCAACTCTCAGAATTTTCCAGCTAGCCATGAATTCTGGGAGTTGAAATCCACAACTCTTACATTTGCCAAGGTTGGACACCCCTGATGTAAAGAATTGAATTCAATAAGAATAGAGCTGGAAGATATCTTAGAAGTCTTCTAGTCCAACCCCCTGCCCAAGCAGGAGACCCTATATAATTTCAGATAAGTGGCTATCTAGTCTCTTCTTAAAATCCTCCAGTGAAGCACCCATATCTTCTGAAGGCAAAGCTGTTCCACTGGTTGATTGTCCTCCCTGTTAGGAAGTTTCCAAGTTGTTTCTCTCCTTGATGAGTTTCCATCCATTGTTTCTTGTCTTGCCTTCTGGTGCTTTGGAAAGTAAGTTGATCCCTCTTCTTTGTGGCAGCCCTTTCAAATACTGGAATATTGCTATCATGTCACCCCTAATCCTTCTCCTCTCTAGACTGGTCATATCCAGTTCCTGCAACCGTTCTTTAGACGTTTTAGTCATATAAAGACAAAATGGATGTTCTCATCTCCAGGCCTTTAATCATCTTAGTTGCTCTTCTTTGCACTTTTTCCAAAGTTTCAACATCTTTTTTTTGTAATGCGGTGGCCAAAACTGGCGGCAGTATTCCAAGCGTGGTCTTACTAAGGATTTATAAAGCGGTACTAACACTTCACTAAGGATCAGGAGTTTCCAAAGTTTGGAACCGACTGATGAGGAAGAGGAGGAACAGCTGGGTCCAGTGCCTGATGCACAGATAAGCAGAAGGCAGAGGAGAGGAGAGCAGTGGAAATCTGTGGGCTGGTCCTTGAGACGGAAGAGCCACCACTGCTAGCGAAGCCCCATTCTAGCTCTGGGGATAAAAGGCAGGGGGCAGAGATGAATAGTTGTGGCAGACAACTATTTATCTCCCTGTTGGACAGACTTATTAGCCTGCATTGAAAGAGAAACTTTTTGCTAGCGATGCTGGTGCTCCTAATAAAGGAATCACTGATTTAAAATACAGAGGGTTTGACGTGTTTGGGGAGCTGGGTCAGAACAGAATAGGTATAAGTCGAGGACCACCTGTCCCTGATCTTCTGCTGGAAGAAATAGCCTTCCGGGTTCAGTTCCAAGTGGGGAAGAAAGACACTGGAA